CTATCACCCTCCTAAGTTACTGATGATATATCTATCACCCTCCGAAGCTACTGATCATATAACTATCATCCACATGCATTCCACAAATATTATCCAGCTAAAATTTCTACTACTGCAATATTACTTCTATTTCCATGAATATTAAAATAGAAATTGGAAAAATTCAACTGAAGTTATCTTATCAAAGGAAAAGAAACGAAAGAATACATAAAATGAAACAATTCAATACAATTACAAGGTCTTGAATCTGATTATAGCGAACAGTTTACGATTTGAAGTTGGTAAAGAATTTGAGACCTTGTATAAATTCAACTCAAAACTTCTTCTTCGCCAAGGAATAGCGTCGTAGATTTTCAGTTTTACAGAACTTAACGTGACAATAAACAATAAAATATTTCAGGTGATTGAAATTCTAACGGGTAGTGAGGATAAGATTCGTATAATACTCAATAAAGCCGATGCGGTACGTCCTAGAGAGCTTGTGCATGTACGTGGTGCTCTGATGTGGGCATTGGGCAAGATTATGAAATGTCCTGAAGTGCCTAAGGTACGCACCGAATCGCGTTTCGCAACGATTCACTTGTCAACATCAATGTTTCCATTTCATTTTCCAACTGCTCGAAAATAACTCAAAATTTGACACTTACTTCCCGACCGATAACGAGACTGAAAACTTTTCGGAATCATATCTAATTTGAAGTTCAAAGGCCAAATCTGACTCAACCAAAAACCCCGTATGGTAAATTCAAATCAATTTGATCGCAAACATCTCTACTCTGGCATACTATCGTAAGCATCTGGCATCTAATTTGTCCTACTATCGTAGTGGAATCGCAACTCTAAGGTAACGTTTGAATCCCTCAACAGATGTTTTCACAAAAACAAATGCTTCAAATCAATCACTCAACAAATATATTCTCAGGTATATATCGGATCATTTTGGCAATACTGGAATCCAAAGAATACACTGTTGCGTGGTGCAATTCAAGAGGATCTGGATGCGCTCATCAAGGAAATACTCGATTTGCCCAGTAACTATCACGCGAAACGTGTCAACGACGTTATCAAACGAGCCAGGAACGTTCGTCAATCCAATCATTATCAATATCCTTCGACATTACTGATTATTGATAACTCGTGACACGTTAACTCAGAACAATGCTTCTCAAAAATCAATGAAAATGTCAATTGCTGAGAGATTAACCTTCAAATAATCCAACAAATAACTGCTTAAGAGAACCGCTACTGAAGAAATTCCCATTCCCAATTGCTAAACAATTGCCAGACATTTACGAGAACGCTTTCATAAAAAAANACTCAAGATCATTCACAAGCAAACATGACTCTCCAAAAAAACATCTGAAAGTAAAGTAAACCTACGCGAACTTTCACCACATTTCAGATGCTAACTCGCGCACAATAACAACTCTTTGCAGACGATGAATCTATTCAAATCAACACCTTTTACTGTATAATATTTGAATACATTTTTTCAGTTACGTATACATACCTATATAATGGACGAGGTAATGAAAGAATCACTGTTCTTTAAAAACAACAAAAAGTCGACCGATACTGCCACATCGCCGGCCAAACTGGTCAGTGTCTATCACAGTATCGCTCGGCAACGACGCATCGTGCTCAACGATTTTCCAGATCCGGTTATATTTCACGAGAAAGCTAAACTGGTCAGTTCTATTATGCCTGATCTGCTTAAAAACTTTTTGCTCTGATACACTCCTTCACGAAATGAACGTTTACATTGTAATTGCCTTGTCTTTACTATCATCAATATGGCTACTATCATTATCATTATTAATACAATGAACATTACCGTTTCAATTATTATCACTCTCGTTGCTGTCAATATTGTTAGCATTGCTATTATCACAATCGTTATCACTACCATATTACGATAATTACTACCATTGCGATTACGATCATGGTGCGATTGCTATCTCGAAAACTGTCTCAAGCCGTGACCTAAAGACATTTAGCCTAACGACAGTTTGCCTAAAGACACACTGCCTAACGGACAGTTTGCTTAACTTACGGTTTTTTAATGGATATTTCGCCTAATAGNAAACTGTTCCTTAGGCTAACTGTCCGTTCGGCAATGTGTCCTTACGCAAACTGTCGTTAGACTAAATATTTTTAAACAGATTGACCAGGTACCGTCTCAAGCACCTTCAAAGAATCTATTTCGTCAATATCTACTCAATTCCACATCTTTTGCTGCACTCTATTTGAATCGTTGCCTCAGCAATCGCTGAAAACTGACCGAAATTCGATTCAAACGCGCTTCAAACGTGTTTCAGACAGACCCAAAGCTGTGGAATCGTCTCGACACGAAGTTGGACAAGTTACTAAATGAATTTTTGGATCACGATGTCGCACCAATCGTCACCACAGCAATCAACGAACCCCGAATCGTTATCGACTATAAACCAGCCAAGAAAGTCCCCCTACCCGAGGTCATATTCGACCACTATTCATAGAATAATTCTTCAGTTTTATCACCGCTACTGTTACCACCGCAAAAATCAGTCATCCAAAAAATACGAACTCGATTTGCCATGATAATATCAATAATAATTACACCAGCAATAATAATACCAATAATAATAAGTGTACGAAACAATTCGCTGAGTATGGATCAAACAAAGCAAGGAGAATTCATCAATGATATGCAGATAAGATGCTGATTATCACCACCAAATATCCTACTCCCTAGGCTAGGATTCCTACCCTACCTTCAAATCAAAAAAAAACCATTCCCATTATATCGGATAAGGCAAAAACACTACAGCTGGCATCTCAGAAGTTCTTTCCCCTCGTTACTGTTGCGCATTTTCAGTTTTCATAGCCAACAATTCAGCAGTTATAACAATTTCACTTTAAGGACTACAATGAAATCAAGAAACTAAAAAGCGAAAGAGAGGCAAATGATGAACACAAGAAGAAAACCAAAAAGGAACTAAACGAAAATAATT